GAAAAATAGCAAGCAAAAGTCGTTTATACAGATTTGATATAAAAAAAGTTACAGGCGCTTCTTACCTTTACTTCTTCTTTACGTTGACTCCATTGGTACAGTTTCCTATGTCAATATTTGTAGGAAACAGGATGTAATAGTTTCCTAAATTTTATACTTATCTTTTCAGAAATACTAACTTCGATGTAATAAATTTTATTTGATACTATCACAAACACAACATTAACAAAGCAAACAGAGAAATAAGATTTCATCTCTAAAGTTGTAGTAACGAGAAGTAATTTAAATTAAACAACGGCACTTTACAGCGTTACGTTCAAAAACAAACATTTATAAAAGCATGTGCGAACAATGACATTGATAAAGTACCCTCATAAATTTTATACGATACGCACACGATTGGAAAATGATTACATGCAAATTTATGTTTTGTCTATGACACATAATATTTAGTTTTATGCTTAGGTGAATTCAAATTACCTTACTTAATATAACTATCCTGTGTTATCTATCATTATCCTTATATATAAATTGATAGAAAAAAATAATAGGTACTTCTTGTGAAGATATCTAAAAAAAATCACAAATACAAGATGTAACAATCAATCTGAAGTTCGAACCAATAACTTAACGATAGTGTTAATAAAAGAGTTTAAAAAAGGATTTAAAAACATTCCCACATAGACGTTAAAATAAATTCAGTTTTGAAATTCTTCAATCTATACTTCTATGTTATTATAATAAAGCGTAAACACACACTTCTTTGTTGCCTAAGATGTCAGCAATTACAGCATATTTTTAAATAATTATTTTTTTTAATAAAAAGTCCTACACTTACATCACGCTTTCGGCTTTACATTTTCGCGCCATTATACTTAGAGGGAAAATATTTTGGATAAAAACCCTAATGTGGGAAATAGACTATGACTTTCTGCCAACACAAGGAAGCAAGTCAAGTCATCGTGTCATGTCATTTTGACATTTGCAATTGTAAATTTCACACATGTAGACAATAAAATAAGATTTTCATAATTTTATGCGGATGAAGTCGCACGGGAATAGCTAGTTGAACGATAAACGTGCATCTATAACAAATATTTGATGAAAATCAATAGATAGAGCAAACTTACGAACCACTATAAATCCAGTCCCGAAAGATTGCGTCTGGAATTGGCAAGTAGCCACGTTATCTCATGCATTTAAGGTGGGATAATAGTTTAACACAAGCTACGCTTCCATTGGACATTCCACGACAAAATAGGATTTCTGAAAACGGTTTATTTTTAGGGATCCCATCTAAGGCAAAGTAGAAAAAATGCGTGTAGCACATGTAAAATTCATGAGAATGAATGAAAATATTTTTAGTTTTGGTTTCCGTCGCACAATACAATACTTATACGAGTGTACTATGAATAAAGCGCATTCTTTTGTTAATGTTTTATTCAAAAGCATTGCTTATAGTAGGATTGTGCTGTTAATATTCTAAGAGCCTGTTCCACCAAATTGTAAATTGTCTGATAATAATACAACGTGTAAAATGTGTGACGGAAATATCGCATTTTGTTCCCTTATCTGACAATGACGTCATTTTTAAGCAATCTGAGCCTCTATCAGTCAGTTGTGGGAATTAACATGGATTAAACAACACCTTATTAAATGTAATATATTTAAAATTTTTCATTCAGTTCGGGACTCGTTACCGTCGAAAAACTTTTACAAAGAAGACCCTTTTATTCTATTTTCATTTTATTTCGCTGACGTGGTTTTCCTCGTTTCCTTTTCAGCAAGATGCTTTCAAACTTTTGATAACTCAATGTCGTTATTTTCTTACATTAGATTTATATGTGCGCAGTTTGTTATTAAAAAAAATCAAATCATTTGTTAGTATTTTAATATTAAATTTAGTTGTAGCTTGAAAATAATGGATTACTTTATAAAATACTTCAAAGATCATTATAGTAGGGTATAATATTAAAAGATTCTGATGTCTGTTATGTTAAAGCTACATTTTCATTTAAAAAAAGACAGAGAACTTGAAATGAGAGTAATTCTCGACTAATTTATGGTAAAAAAATAATGAAAAGAACAGGACAATGCGACTCATTAAAATTCCTGCGTTAAACATAATTAAAAACAAACCAGGTTAATTACAATCTCATAAAGCAATTTGGTCCCGTCGCCTCTCGAATCAGTTTTAAACGAATTAAATTTCCTTAAGTAGGGAAACAGACACCTACCAAACAGGAAATGAATGCCACAAAATTTCCAAATAAATCTACCAAATAATCCTAAAACTTTTTAGACACTCTCTAAAATATACGTATAATAGAATTAGTAGGCAAAATAACTTTATTATAAGAGTTACTTTAGCCGTGTGAACATAAAAAACGTGTCGTAGAACATAGTGATATCGCTTTCATTCCCTTTGAGAAAGACAGATTAGAAAGGTTTTGTATAGTTGTTTCAGCAGTGGAAACTCAGGAGATCGAGCAGGGACAAAACACAAAAGAAAACATAAAGTGCTGGGAAATTCGAGTTCAGAGAACTTTGAATTGTTCATTCCCCTATACTGCCTAGTCTCGGGCCGTAGCGCCAATCTCTTTGTTTTACGTTAATAATTGTGAAGTTTCCCACACGTTCTCATTATATTCTATTACCACGCCACGTGTTTGCATCTAAAATTAAAGTAGAAAATCTCAACTCGGTTTAGTAAACGTAATTTATAACGCCACCTTAAACCAGCTGCTATTTCTGGTGGCACTATAATACCTGTGTTAAAGATAGTTGTTAGCTTGCTTTTATAACCACATCCGTTTATACAATGAACTCCCAGATAGATTAAATTTATTTTATCATGAATATTTCTGAGCTAAATATACAAATTCCTATACGCGGTTGTTTGTCATATCTTAACTCTCTTGATGTGGGCGTCTTGACTTAACCACATTCTGTTAATTAGTAAGAGATACTGTGATATCTAGAAATGTCGATTCAAAGTAAATGCATCTCCGGATTTATATTAATTTCCCTATAGCAAAAAGTACTAAAAACAGTAATGGAAAACAATGATTAATGTCAATACAATTATATAACTTGATACCCTTGTCCAAATAAGTTTCACGTGGACTTTTTGATTGAAAGAACCTGATATGGGTCAGTTAATTAACTTAGCTGGGAATTTCAAAATCTAACTACCGAATTATATTTACTGAAATAAGATATTCAAACACACAAATGAAATGTTTGCACATGTTGAAATAATATTACTTCACTTGAGGTACATTTTATTATTACACTAGCTTTCGCCCGCGACTCCGTCCGCATGGGAATTAAAAAACAAAAGTGAGTAGCCAATGTGTTCTTATATCTATCTCTGCGCCTATGCGTAATTTCATCGAGATCTGTTCAGCCGTTTAGGCTACAAACTCTAACAAACATCCGTCCATCCATCCATCTAAATTTTTGCATTTATAATATTATGAAGAATTTAGAAGTAAGATTTAATTCGATTATTATTATTATTACATTTAATTCGTTTCACCATACTTTACAGGATAATATAATGGCAGGGTAGGCGCAGTTTGCTATAAAAGGCAAGGCTTTTATTGTCCTTGTATCTAGTGATATGGGATTTATTAAACGAAAGAAATAAACGTCTAGTGACACACGTTTTTTTCATTCTGTTATGAAATCTCTTCTAGTTACGGAGTTATTACGAATCGTGACTGGATGGAGCATTATGTTTTTTTTTTTATTTTCTTGACAATCAAAACGACATTGAATTTGGAAGCGGACAATTTGTCACGTCCTATTCTCGATGCCTTATTGTAGTTAAGATTAAGAAAAGATTTATAGACAATTCGTCATTTTTATCTATACTAATATTATAAAGAGGGAAGATTTGTATTTTTGGACTTTTGTATGTATTGAAATAACTCAAAAACTACTGGGCCGATTTAAACAATTTTTACACCATTAAAAAGCTATGTTATCAGTAACATAGGATATATTTTCCTATTATTATTAATTTCTCGCGGACAAAGTCGCCAGTAACAGCTAGTCAGAAATAAAACAGCGCTTAACCATGATTCCACCCAAACTGAATTAAGTGAAAACGCGGTCGAAGGATACACATTATTGTTAGTGTTAAAGACTGCATCTTACGGAGATAAATTAGCTATGAAATGTTTTATAGTCTTTTTAAAGCATTTAAAAATAGTACTTAATTGTGTATATTTTCGATACATTTTCTATAAATTTCTTCAATAGTTATTAACAAGTGTAGTGTAATTATAACATAATAAGAACATACTTAAGAGTAATTATCTTGTTTAGATTCAAGGGGGTGGACAAGATTGTAGACAGGGACTCGTGCTAGAAATAAATTATTTTGTAAATCTTAAATGTTAGATAACGTACATACAAGTAAATTGTATATCTTAATACATACTCGTATAAACATATAATACAATACACAAAATCTAAAGTATACTTTTTAATATTTACATACATACTTTTTTTTAATATGTAAAACCTTTTTGTATCTGTATTTAGGATCTGTATTTTTTTGACTGTCAAATGAGCAGAGGCATTGTAATGTAACATAAAATTAGTAGTCAGTTAATAGCTCTTAATGTTGTTTTTTATCAGGTGAATGATTAATATTTCTTTTATATATTACTGTATATAACAGGTTGATTGTTCGATTATTATAATAAATAAATTTGTTTCTTCTTTCAGTACAACAACATAATAGTTATTATTGAAAGTAACTTCCTATTATAAATATTACGATAATGTAATTAGGAGTGTTCAAGTTAAAGGAGATTTAAAAAAAAATGTTAAAAACGAAATTTAATTTACACATTAAAATTAAGTAACATAATATGACTGATGTAATACCTATTTAATACTAAAATCGACTCTTTAATATCTTTTTACATTTTACATAATTTCTCATTCACACTAACACTTCAAATATAAATAGATTTGATCGTAAACTATCGCCTTATATCTAAGTACTACATAGGAAAAAAAAACAAGGAAATTTGACGATACTAAAAATCTTTTAAAGGTATGTCTATTGTATTACCATATCGTACTGATTTGACGGTGTGTTGCAGGATTTTCTTGCCATAATGATAAGTCGATTGTGGGCAAATCAGAGCATGGAACCAATTGATTCCTGAAAATAAATTATATTGATTTGTATGATATTTTTTAAACAACAGAGTTTATTTGATGACTGTTTTTTTTTTCTTGATAAAAAATGTTTTGTTGTATGAGATTTAAGTAACAATTTAAATCGTATTAGAATAAATGGGACAATTTTGACGGGCGAATAAAATTTACGTTACTTTCCAATTAACGTATTTCGATGTGATAGTGTCACGTTTTAGATTCTATACACAAAGAAATATTAAATTTTAAACTCACGCATGCGATATTTGCTGGAAAGCCCGCGGCTGCATCGATTGAATATTATCAGCGTTGTCACAGAGTAGCCTCGCCATTGACGATCCGCGTCGAATTGATTCCAATTGACCTAAAAATTGGAAACAATATTGTCAAAATGAAATACTTTAAATTTGATTTCGTACTAAATGTCGCCCCCTTTTTGATATGTAACCCAAACTATAATCTACTTCATATTACATTTAGAGACAGGTGATAAGGTTAATATAAAATAGCTATTGCTCGCGACTTTGTCCTCGTAAAAAAAAGATGACATACATATGTTACTCACTGAAAACATAGCTTTTTAATAGTGAAAGATTTTTTTAAATCGCCTCAGTAGTTTTTGAGTTAATTCAATACATACAAATATAGTAAAACTTTTGTCTTTATAACATTATTGTAGATTGGTATTTTATAACTCACTTGGTGTAAAAGCGATGTTAGAGTCTTTTCCGTTTTCATAGAAGTATCGATCGCCGACTCTGGTGCGATAGAATTGTTCTGTTATGATACAGAGGAAGGTGGGTCCTGTCTGCATGTGCGGGAGATTGCGCTCCAAAGATCCTGCCACCACTAACTCGACGTCTTCTGCGCTCTCATATAGATTGCGGAGTATTTCCACGTTCTGTTAAAAAGTGCATTTAAAATAAACACATTATAGTAACATTTTCTTAATAGGGACAGGGTACTCGTGCTCTATGATTTAAAATATGGGTTGGTAATTTATACGGCTAATAAAGCTTATTTTGCTTCTTAGTTGACCTGGTAAGTACTTACATCTCGTGAGATGAAGTCCAACATATCCTCGAATGTATTTGGTGTAGGCAGGTTGCAGGCGGCGCGCGCAGATATGTAATTCCCTAAGGCGTGGTCGCGCCCTCGTTGTATATCAGCGGCTCTTAAATCTTCACCAAATGTTTTGTTGCGTCTATTTCAAAATAAATGATACACGTTTATTATTTATTTTAATAATATAAAGAAAATATATAGAGATTAAAACAATTACTTCAATCATCATCATCTTTCTCCTTAACCTACTCCCGTCGAGTCGGCACAACGGGTTTTTGTCCTCCACATAACTCTAGCATACGTCATCTCAGTCATGACTTCCTTTTTGATCATGCCACCTTTCACTTAATCCATCGATATCTTTCTAGGTCTGCCTTTACCGGTGTACCTTCATAACTAATGTTCTCTGTGTATTACTTCTACAACTATTACTAAAAATAACTAAAAACTGTTACTTCAATATGATATTGAATACAACATACTTGAAGAAAAACTGTGTTATTTCACTGTCCCAGAACTGGTCGCTGAAATCTTGTGGCTGAGCTGTGAGTCCTCTAGTCAAGTCGTCGAATACGCCTTTAGCTTCAATCAGTATGGGCCTGTTGAACCAGTCGCTTAAGCGTACTGCACCAACCAACTTACGACTCTCGCTGATCATTCTGCGGGATACAATTACCATTAATTTATACCAATATTATGATATAAAGAAGAAAGATTTGTATTTTTGTATGTATAAGAATAACTCAAAAACCACTAGGCTAATTTGAAAAATACTAATTTATGAAAAATAATTGTTATTTCTTAAATTTCACGCGGACGATGTCGGGAGCAGCAGCTAGTTACCAATATTGGGTCTTACGTTAATTATAGAGAACGTTCCAAATAAAGCAAAGGAAGGCCATAAAATAGAATATGGGTAAACATGGTTTTGCAAGAATTTCTGTACAAGTGTACATTTCTAACCAAATTTTATTCTAAAACTACCAAATAGCACTGTGTTTAATTAATAAAGTGTTATCTTTTTTTATGTTTGAGTTGTTTTGGCATATAAAAAAGGGATTAAAATATAAGGTAAAAACTTACTGTAAATGTCCTCGAATCAGCGTATGGAAATGTCTATACGCCGCAGTAGCGTGTTCGTCTAGTACTGTCGGATTGACGGTAGGATTATAATCATTGACGTAGCCCGTCGCTCCAGGGTAGATCAATTTGTTTTCCACCATATTGTCGTAACCTTTACCCAATAAAATTGACGTTCAAATGATACACAAGAAGAAACTTTTGTTAGTTTTATTAATACGAGGCTGGGTGGCATTAATTGTTTTATTTGATATACTTATTGAAATTAATATATGGCAGTGTGAATTACGATTATAAGCAGATATATTTAACTTTTAAAAGTAAAAAGTAAAAAAGATATGCTCTTTTATTGTATTCCTTACCGAGGAAAATAGGTAGATATTCATAATAATTAATGTGTTGTATTTCAGCGATGTGAATGCGACGCGCCTCTTGGTAAATAGTTTCATCGTCCCAGAATGGATTGAGTCTGGATAATGTATCTGCGATACGATTGTGTTCACGCATAAGAATAATTTGCAGTATCGTCAGCTGTGGATTTTGATTCACTCTTATATCACCTGCCGAAAAAGTACATTACAGTTAATCATACTAATATTATAAATGCGAAAGTTGAGATGGATGGATGGATTGACGGACATTAGTTAGAGTTTGTAGCTGAACGGATTTCAATGAAATTAGGTATAGATGTAGAGGATAGTCTGAAAGAACACGAAAGCTATTCACTTAAGGTTTTTTTATATTATAATTCCATGCGGACGCAGTCGCGGGCGAAAGCTAATTTGAGAACAAAATAAGTTTTTAATTAAGTTAGAAACATTGGTTTATCATAAAGCTCTTGAGTTGGCAGTTCTTCCCAAAGGAAATTTTACATAGTATTAAAAAAAATCACAAAGTTTGTCTGAACTCAATAAGCCGAGTTAGTACACCAGGGAAGAACCTCGTTAATGCAAAGGACAATAATGCTTTAGCATACTCTATGCTCAGAGAACCTCATATGATGTGTAAGATGTATCTTAATCTTATCCTCTTTATCTCATTAGTATACCTAAATGCAATGTTTTAATTCGTCTGAGTTTAAACTGATCTGAAGTGATGCAGTTTGCGGTCTACGTACGTAGACAGCACGTATCTGCTTGCTAGCTTACCAACTTAAATAATTAAAAATACTTCAATTCTCAAGTCAATAAATTTAATGCAAGGAACTATGTACCTTACCAGTCAAGTAACAGGGTTCATTAGGTGATAATGCAGATTCACAAGTCAAGGTTACATTAGAGTCTTGCGGCGGCCACTGTCGTCCCCCTCTGATAACTGTCGTCAGTCGTCCACCGATGTAAGACCGTAGCGCGTCTGCTTGCGAATCATTCGCGCCGTAAACCATTGACAAATCCATGTATGAAGAAACTATAGATATCTGTATAAACAATTGAAATTATTAAATTCTGAAATCGTTTTCATACTTTGCTTCTAACTTTTTTTTTTTATAACATAAGGTGGCAAAGGAGCAAGCGGCCACCTGAAATCGCCAAAATGGCGAAGCAACAGCTGCCCAAAGACATCCGCAATTGCAGATGCGTTGCCTATCCTTATGCGACAGAGGAGAC